CAATGGAGGTTGACCACAACGAACTCAAGCTCTGTCTTGATCGACTTCGGGGGGTGCCGATCTCGACCGGGAGAGTGATTTTGCCTTCGGGGTAAATGAGGGCCCCGGTAAATCCCGACAGTGGTACTCCGACCGGAGTCAGCTCCTTCCTGTCAAGGCCAAGCTTCTCGAACACGTCCAAGTACAGGACGTTCACACTGCTACCCGTGTCCACCATAACCCTCTGGACGTCCGTTCCCTTGACGTCGATTGTGACCACGAGCGCCTCCATGCCGTGGTCACTGCTGCTAGGTTGGTCCTCCAAGGTGAAGGTTATGGGCTCCATTTTTTGTCTTTTCCCGGTCTCTCGGGAATCCACAATCGCAACCGGGCAATTCGTCCTCGGCTGGGAAGCGTCTTCTAAGCCACCAAATATGACATGGATGGTGGGCTTGCTGGCCGGGCGGCTACCGGACGGAGGGTCAGGGTCCCGTCGGTCATCGTGACGATCGTCCCTTCGATCGTCTCTTCGGTCCTGACCCGACCGATCGGAGCGGTGATGAGATCGCCTGTGATCCCTCCGATCGGTATTCCTCTTGCTTTCTTCTCTCTTCCCCACGCACTTGTCCAATTTTCCCAAATTGAGCAAATCTTCCAACAATTGGCGCAGGTGGGTGCACTCCTCGGTATCATGCCCGGCGCATCGGTGGTAAGCACAGTGCTTACTCTTATCAGGGCCGTCTCGATCGGGATGGGGGAGTTTGATGAGGTTGCAAGATTGAGCATACTGCATGGCCTCCGCTGCAGATCGGTTTAAGGCCGTAAACTCACCAGGCCTGGTGCGGGATCGGGGACGATCGTGTCCCGATTGATGTTCCGCCCGGCCGGCCGATTTACGGGACGAAGAACCGACCTCTTGTGAACGTTTCACGGCATTCGCCTCACCAGCATTGGCGTAATCCGTGACCCTTCGGAGGGCCTCCTCGTATGTGGTCGGGGGGTGAAGGATGAAATCCTGGTATAGATACCCCGCCCGGAGGGAGATGTGAAGCATGTGGGTGGCGGTCGCATCATCCATGGGTTCGACCTCCCCGACCGCTGCTTTCCACTTGATGAGGAAGTCGGTCAAGCTTTCCCCTTCGAGCTGCTTGGCCTTCTCGAGGTACATGTAAGACTTCCTCACCACTTTGGAAGTAATGAACTTCCGTACAAACTTGATCGCCAGGGTCTCAAATTTGTCGATCGACCCCGGGGGCAAGGTGCGGAACCACTCTGCTGCCCGACCGGTGAGGGTTGAGTAGAAGGCCCTGCACATCACGGCGTCTGAAACGCCCTTCAGCATCATATTGCTGAAAAAATCATTCACGTGAGCCTCAGGATCTGTCCGACCGTCGTAACTCTTCTCTCCCGAGACCTTTAAGTCGAGCGGGTAAGGCTGAGCCATTACCGCTGCTGTGAAAGGCGTCTGGTGGAGGGTCGATCGGTCGGCCGGGGGTGCTGCAGGATATGCATTCCTTAGCTGCGCAACTTCCGCCTGGAGGTTGTAGAGCAACCCTCGGGTTTCGTTGAGCTCGGCGTTCTGGGCGGCTTGGGCTGTATCCCGAGCGCGTCGACGTCGATGTGATCTCGACCCGCTGTACCCGGACGAGGCCTCGTGGCTAGCTTCCCGCATTTGTTCGTCCTCTTGCCTGGGGTTCGGGTCCTGGGGTCCCAGACGCTGGCGCATCTCTGGTCGGAGACGATCGAAAGCTACCGCTCGGGCAACCTCTTCTGGGTCCTCCGCTTGAACGGCCTGAACTGGTGCCTCCATCGCGTCAGCACCCCCCGACCCCAACCGCGAATGAGCCGAGCGTCGAGCCCGGGAAGTGGACTGACGCTGCGGCTCTACTTGTGCGGTCGGCTGTACTGGAGGGGCGGCGGCTGGAGCTGTGTAGACAGGCGTGTAAGGTGGATAGCCAACCGGGGAAGTGTAGCACATCGGTTGGCCTGGCCAAAACCCGTATGGTGGAGGTGGAACCGGATACGGGTACTGGGCGGGATACATCATCGGCTGCTGCTGGTATGGCAGACCGGGTGGTGGGTATCCCGGTTGTATATAGTTCACCGGCTGCTGGGCGGCCGGGTATGTATTTGACGGATGTGGCGGTGAGAGATTGAGGTTGAGGTCCATCGTCTGACCCTGCTGTTGGGTAGCGTAGTGGTCGGAGGAGCTCGCTGCATCCGCCTGGTCGTCGGCGAAGTTGTTGTGTGCCCACGGATACATGCTGGGATGGTGATCGGGTGCTCGTCAAGACGTTGGCTTGTTGCACGGATCCCACAGACGGCGCCAAAATGATACTGCTAATTCTACGTAAGCAATATAAATAACCCAAGACCAAGTAAAGCAAGTAATTCTTTATTGATCAAGGTAGAGTTCCTAAGTACAATCTACTTGGTTGCACTGAGTACCGACTGACTGCGGTCGGGAGTCTCTAGTTACAACCTAACGATCGTCCAAAAGTCCTCTACACTGTAGCTACTGTGGGCATTTATAGCCGCTGTGCCGGAGACAAGATCCCAGCTGCTCGGCATGTCTTCCACGTAGCCACCACGTGCCCTCCTCCTGGGTGCCCTGCCTGTCGATGTAAAGAGCCGCCACGTGTCTTTAGTCAGCTCTCTTGCCGAAGGACTACCGCTCGGGGTTGTCACCCCCGCTCGGGCAACTCCTGGTCGGTTCCCGACCGGGTTCTTCTCAGGGAGCCCGACCTGTTACCTGCAAAGACAAGGAGAAAGAGACAAAGACTCCTCGGTCGTGGTGAAGCTATGTCGGTCGGGATATTCCCTACCAATATGAATGTAGAAAAAATAAGAGAAAAAGGGTCAAATAGGTCCCTAAACTTTACTCAAAAGGTCAATTAGGCTCCTAAATTTTACAAAAGTGCAATTAAACCCTCAAACATGTCAAATTGGGTCAATGAAGCTCAAAAACTGGTAAATGACCTATTATTACATGTCATTTCAATTCCGGCGACCGGCGACAAAATTCGACCGTCTGGTCGTCTTCCACTGGAGAAGACGACCGGATGGTCGCCTTCGTCTTCTCCAGTGGAAGACGACCGGATTTTGTCACCGGTGACCGGATTTTTTCGCCAGTGGCCGGAATTCGTCGCCGGAATTGAAATGACCTGTAATAACAGGTCATTTATCGGTTTTTGGGTTTCATTGACCCAATTTGAAATGTTTGAGGGTTTAATTGTACTTTTGTAAATTTAGGGGTCTAATTGACCTTTGGGGTAAAGTTTAGGGTTCTATTTGACCTTTCTCTAAAAAAATAATGAATAAATTTCAAATTTGATGATGTAGAAGTAGGACCAACTTTTAAAAATAAAAAAGTATTTCATGAATAAAGATAGTGTTATATTATCTTTCTTCTTCTTCGAAGAGCATCCCTACTAGGGGATAATACAAGATTTATGTCAGGTCAGAAAACTTGGGTGGGGTTCTTTCTAGATGTGGGGTGAGGTTATTTTTAAAGTTTATCCTTCTGCAAGGAATTCTCAAAAAAAAAAAAAAAAAAAAAAGAGGAGAAGACTGATGCGCACACTTTGCGCCCACAGCGGGCGCGTGTGCGCGTCAGAGACTTTTGAACCCTTTTTATCTTTATTTTTAAAGTTAGAATTTGTTCAATTTTTTCTTTATCATTTTCTTTTTTCACTCATATTTTTCTCTTTCTTAATCATTCGTAGGATATATTCCGACCGACATGGCTCGGTTTCCCTTGTTCTTTGTGCAAGTTAGACAGGTCGGATATTCTTAAAGAAGACGGTCGGACCCAACCGGTAGACTTCCCGACCGATCGCCTTTGCCACCCGATTAGCTACCCTTGTCAAGGATCTCGAGAAGAGGCACATGGCGATATTACACGTTGACAGAGAGGGCTCGCGGGATGGTGACTCGTGGATGCTACGTGGGTTACATGCTGGCCGGCCGGAGCTGTGTCTCCGGCCTAGCGGCTATAAGTACCCACGACGACTATAGTGTGGGGGATTTTTGGAACGATCGATAGATTGTCTACAGAGCTGCCCGACCGCAGTCAGTCGGCCCTCGAGATAATCACTTAGATTGTATTAGGTCCTTCCTGATCAATAAAAGACTTTATTGCTTTGACTTGATCGTATTACGTACCTTGACCGCTTAACACGTGGAATTAGTACTATCATTTTGGCGCCGTCCGTGGGGACCCGAGACAAGAAAGCTATTGTAGACGCGTCCGGATCTCGATCAACATTATGTATCCTTTCATGTACCAAGCGCTTGAGGATGACCAAGCAGATGCAGCAAGTTCATCCGATCATCAGCGTACCCAGTACCAAGGTCAAACAGTTGACCTAAATCTCAATTTATCACCACCTCATTCGGTGGCCCAGAACCCGGTCAATTACATTCAGCCGGCATATCTGCCGCCCGGTCAATAGTATCCATTTCCCGGACAGTATCCGTACCCGGTTTCACCTCCTCAATATGGGTATTGGCCCGGGACACCGATGTATTATCCACCACCGATCGGTTATCCACCATATACGCCTGCGTACACGGCTCCAGCTTCCGCTCCTCCGATTTACCCGACCATGCCAACCGAGCCGAAGCTTCAGCCCGCTCCCCGGGCTAGGCGCTCGGCTCGTTCGAGGTTGGGGTCGCAGGGTGCCGAGGCCATGGAGGAACCACGGCAGGCTCAACATGTTCAGCCGGAAACACACGCTCAGGTAGCTGAAGACCTTGAGATAGAAGCCAACCGGGCGATGGCATTCGAGCGACTCCGACCAGCAATGCGGCAAAGATTGGGACCGCAGGATCCAAACAGATGATTGGTTGATTCGCCTATGCGAGCGACGAGCTAGGAGGGGTCGTCTGGGTATTGTGGGTCTAAATCCCATCGACGACGCCGAGCTCGGGAACCAGCCCAAACGGTCGTACAAGACGAGACCCGAGGAATGCTCAACGAGCTCCGGGCGTAATTCACTCGCTGGCAGAACGAGCATGCTATGAGGCCTCCCACCGATCATTCAGCCTCTCTCTTGAGGACACCCTTCACGGCGGAGATTATGGCCCAGCCTTACCAGCTCGATTTGCGCATCCCCGGCAACAAGGAATATGATGGGCGGACAGACCCAGAAGTGCATGTCAACACCTATTATGGCAACATGTTGATGATGGGCATGTCAGGCGCCGTGATGTGTAGGGCCTTCTACTCGACGCTTTCCGGTCGAGCGGCCGAGTGGTTCAGAACTTTGCAACCGGGTTCCATCTCTGATTTCACCACTTTGGCAGCCAAGTTCGTGCGGAAGTTTGTCACTTCCAAAGTCATTCGGAAGCCCTACATGTACCTCGAGAAGGCCAAGCAATTGGAGGGGGAAAGCTTGACCGAATTTTTAGTCAAAGTGGAAGGCGGCGGTCGGGGAGGTCGAACCGATGGACGACCTGACAGCCATTCATATGCTACACATCTCTCTTCGAGCTGATTTTGTACCGGGACTTTATACTTCACCCTCCAACTACATATGAAGAAGCCCTCCGTAGAGTGACAGATTATGCCAATGCTGGTGAGGCAAATGCCGTCAAGAGGTCGCAAGAGGTCGGGACATCATCCCGGAAGCCTTCCGGTCTGGCGGATCATCGGTCGGAAGATCATTCCCGACCCCGTACCCGACCAGGAGAGTTCACGGCGTTGAACCGATCAGTGGCGGAGGCCATGCAATACGCTCAGTCCTGCAACCTTATCCGTTTACCTCAACCGGGACCAGATGGGCCGGATAAGACGAAACATTGTGCCTACCATCGATGTGCAGGACACGACACGGAGGAGTGCACACATTTAAAACAACTGTTGGAAGATTTGCTTAACCTGGGAAAGCTAGACAAATGTGTGGGGAAAAGAGAAGAGAACAAAAGAGTGGGCGAGAGAAAAGATCAAAGGCGATCTCATCATCGCTCCGATCGCAGAGATCAAGATCGGCGGGATCCCGATCCTCCATCTAGTAGCCAACCGGCGTCCAAACCGACCATCCGCGTCATATTCGGAGGTTTGGAAGATGCTTCCTGACCTCGGGAAAGTTGCCCGGTCGCGATCGTCGACTCTCGGGAAACCGGTAAGAGGCAAAAGATGGAGCCCATCACCTTCACTCTTGAAGACCAGCCGGAAAGCGGTGATCATGGAATGGAAGCCCTAGTTGTCACGATTGACATTATGGGAACTGATGTTCAGAGAGTAATGGTGGACACCGGGAGCAGTGTTGACGTTCTTTATTTGGACGTGTTTGAAAGCTGAAATTGGACAAGCGGGAACTGATTCCGATCGGTGTTCCGTTGTCAGGATTTACCGGGGCTACCATTCGCCCCGAAGGAAAGATCGTGCTCCCGGTTGAGATCGGCACCCCACCAAAGTCAGTGAAAACGGAGTTGGAGTTCATTGTGGTCAACCTTCACTGTGTCCACAACGTCATCTTAGGTCGACCGACCATTATGAGGGTCGGCGGAATCGTATCGATGCCTCACTTGTGCATGAAGTTCCCCACCCCTGCCGGGGTCGGAGTTGTGCGAGGCGATGTCCAATCGGCTAAGAAATGCTATACCCGGGCTGTCAATCGGCGTGATGTTGGTTCTTCCCGAGTGAACACCATTATCAAGGAAGCCGTCGGAGATCGAAAGGAACAACCCGAGCCCTCCGAAGAGATTGAGGAGGTTCTTTTATCTGAGGAACGACCGGAGAGGAAGATCAAAATTGGTCAGGGTCATCACCCCGAGCTACGAGTAAAAGTGCTAGCGATCCTCCGGGAATTCGCTGATATATTTGCATGGGGGCCTGAAGACATGCCCAGGATCGATCGCACTGTAATTTGTCACAAGCTAGCTGTAGATCCCGTGACGAAACCAGTCGTGTAGAAGACTCGGCATTTATCATCCGATCGCCGAGAGTTTGCCAGAGAGGAGGTGAAAAAGATGGCAGCAATTGAGCACATCCGCCCGGTCACTTATCCCGAGTGGGTGGCCAACATTGTACTCGTTCCAAAGCCTCCATCCTGGAGGATGTGCATCGATTTCACCGACCTCCAACAAAGCATGTATGCTCGATCCATACCCGCTGCCGAACATTCATCAGATGGTTGATGAGACGGCCGGGGCCAAGCTCATGAGTTTCATGGATGCATTCAAAGGCTATCATCAGATAATGATGCATCATGAAGATGAAAGTAAGACGGCCTTTGTCACACCAGACGGGTTGTATTGTTACCGAGTGATGCCGTTCGGCCTTCGCAATGCAGGGGCAACTTATCAAAGGATGGTCAATATGCTATTCGAGGACCTGTTAGGCCGAACGATGGAAGCTTACATTGACGACATGCTGGAGAGTCGGGACCGAGCTGACCACACTCGGGATCTCCGACAATGTTTTCAAATCATGAGGAAATACCAGCTGCGATTGAATCCCAAGAAGTGCACGTTTGCGGTGCAAACGGGAAAGTTTCTCGGCTACATGATGACAAAGAGAGGAATCGAGCCCAACCCTGCCAAGGTTAAGGCTATTCTTGATAGGAAACCACCCACGACCGTTCGGGAGGTGCAACAGTTGACCGGCAGGTTGGCAGCCTTGAGCCGTTTCCTTTTAAAATTGGCCGAGCGCGCATTACCATTCTTCAAGGTATTGCGCAAAGTTAATGGGTTCGTGTGGGATGACGAGTGCCGAGTGGCTTTTGACGAGCTCAAGGAATATCTGATGTCACCGATCGTGTTGTCAAAGCTGGAGCTCGGAGAAGAACTGGATGTCTATCTCGCCGTTTTCGATCGAGCTGTAAGTGCGGTTTTATGCCGAACAGATTCGGAGGGAGTGCAACGACCGGTTTACTATGTGAGCCATGCGCTCCATGGTCCCGAGCTCCGTTATTCCCGGCTAGAGAAGATAGTATATGCTTTGTACATAGCGGCAAAGAAGTTGGCCCCCTACTTTCAAGGTCGAGCCATTCATGTGTTAACCGATCAGCCGATCGGGGCATTTTTCCGCACCGCTTCTTCTTCTTGACGCCTAGTCAAGTGGGCGTTGATGCTGACTCAGTATGCAATTGAGTACCGACCAAGACCAGCTATAAAGGGTCAAGCTTTGGCAGATTTCTTGGTCGAGTGCACCGCTCGGGAGACACAACCCGCTGCGGTCAAGGATCCTGAGGCGGCATGGTGGTCGTTGGCCATCGATGGATCGAGCAGCAAGAAAGGAGCAGGTGGGGGGAGTCGTGATTACAAGCCCGGAGGGTCTCAAAGTCTACTATGCATTGATGTATCAGTACCACCCAACCAACAATGAAGCCGAGTATGAGGCCTTTGTTAATGGCCTACAGTGCGCTCGAGATTTGGGGGCTGAATACATCCGGGCTCAGACTGACTATGCATTAGTGGTCGGACAGGTCTTGGGCGACTACGAAGTCAACAGAGAGCGGTTACAAGCTTACCGAGATCTCGCCATGGAGAAGCTAACCTTGTTTCGAGGGTACACCGTTCATCATGTTCCCCGACTGGACAATGCCGATGCCGACATCTTATCCAAGCTGGCACAAGATGCCCCTGAACACATATCCAAGATAGTTCGGATCCTGATGATCCACTACAAGAAAAATCGTGAATTGCGACGGAAAAATTCCGTCGCGAAACAACAAAATTCTGTCGCGAATCACGTTTTGCGACGGAATTCATTCCGTCGTCTATCGGCTTGTCGTATTTTTATACGCGACGGAATAATTCCGTCGCCAAATATGACGACGGAATAAGGCGTCACAAATTTGCAACAGAATATTTTTCGTCGCAATTCCGTCGCATTTTGGCAACGGAAATTATTATGTCGTTAATTCCGTCACCATTTTGAAAACAAATATTCCGTCACCATCTTTTTTTTTTTTTTCCGTTGCAATTCCGTCGCCATTTTGACAATGGAATTGTTCTTCGTCACATTTAGTGCAACAAATATTTCGTCGCAAAACTTATATTCTGTCGCGATTGTATCGCATTTTTTTTTTAATTTTTTTATAAAAAAATCATTTATAATTATTATTTTAAATAGTAATATAAACTGTTAACATACTAAAACACAATTAATTCTAAAAACATAACATAATTCTAAAACATTATCAATTCACATTAAGTTCAAATAATAATACATCATTAATCCACATTTAGTAACTAATAATAGTCAATTCAAGTCTAAACAATAATATAATAGTTCTAATACACACTTGTTGTTCTCCACTTCTATGTCTCTTGATGGCCAGAACATTATCACTTCTATGTCTCTTAATGGCCACAACAGTATCATCACTTAATACACCCTTGAACACCCTGCCAAAACCAGCCTCTCCAAGGAACCTTGCACTTGTAGGATGGGCAAAAGACCCTACAGTATGAATTGAATCTACACTCCTAGGCTTCACTGTTATGAAGAGAACAAGTGAAAGAACAAAAAAGAATAGAAGTTAGAAAGAAATAAAAAATCAATGTTCCCCTAGTTCATATATTTAAAAGAAAAATGTAAAGCCATCTCAAGCACTTCGAATTCAGTATGTTTCTTCTAACTTTTATACTTTGGTTACTCCATGCTCTAAATTTAAATAATAGGAATGCTGGAAACACAGTTTTAATTTCAAGAACACCTTGATCAAGTCTGCTAGAAAGTTTAAGATTGGAAACTAAGCTTATGTAAAAAAGTGGTAGTAGAACAACCTCCAGAAACTTTTGTAAATGAGAGGTAAAAAAACACAACAACAATTTTGCAAGGGCTTAGATGAACCTTATGCATATACAATGAAGAGTTTATGTTGGAGGCTTCGATTGCCTAAAAGCTAATTCCCTTGTATGGTGTAATGTCCATTAAGATATTAATGTTTGACAAATCAATAACATAGCTCTATGTGAGAAACCTGCAAACACAATTGTTTAGCGAATTCATCTAGAAAAAGATTATTCAAATTTGGGTAAGATGAGACATTCAAAAGGAGAAGATCAATCTTTGTTGGGTACACACAGTGGCAAGGCAGACTTCCTCTCCTAAGTACCATGTCTGGTCCACAATAGTCTACAAAAACAAAGGATGAAAGCAACACAGTTAGGGATGTCAATCGGGCCAGCCCACTCGGTTTCGGGCTAGCCCTGTCGGGTTGTCGGGCTAATCGGTTTTATTAATATTTTATTCTCGGGTTCGGTTTGGCCCTAACCCTAAACTTCGGGTTGTCAGGCTAATCGGGCGGGTTGAACCATCTGAATTAAAATTAAAAACTGAAAGTAAGTATTCATATTTAGAGTAGAGATGACAATGGGACGGATCGGGTCGGAGCGGGAAGTATAATCCCCCTCTCCGTCCTCAATAAAAAATTGAAAATAGTCCCTATCTACGTTCCCGCGGAGAGACCAAGAATTCCGTCCTCATCAATTTTTAGTCAAAATATTAGATTAATGTTGTTTTAAATTTTAAAAAACTAAAAACTTAAGTTTTAATTTAAATTATATATATATATATATATATATATATATATATATATATATATATATAAATAAAAGTAATGCTCCTGTGTATATACAGTAACATTACGTTATATATATATATATATATATATATATATATATATATATATATATATATATATATATATATTTATTTATTTATTTTTAATTATAATAATTATTTTATGTATGTTAGGTTTCACATCACTTCTATAATAAAGAAATAGTTTTCAATAGTTCGGGTTGTCGGGCTAGCCCTTTTAATTTCGGGCTAGCCCTATCGGGCCACCGGGCTAATCGGTTTCGGGCTTGTCGGGCTAATGTGTTTTATCGGGCTAGCCCGTTCGGGCCATAGCCCTGTCGGTTTCAATTTTATCCGGTTGGCCCATCGGGTTCGGGCTAAATTGACATCCCTAAACACAGTTATTCATTTCCTTCCACCCTCCCCCTCCCCCCCCCCTTTTTTTTTTTCTTTTTCTATTTTTAATTTCATTTTTGTGGGGGAGGGGTAGAAGGTGAGGTGTTTCCTTGGGACTTGTTTGGGATCAAATAGATCATTTACAA